TATATATTATTAAATATATTATTATATATATTCTTATATATGTCATATATCTTTGACTATTATTTTCAAAGCTTCTAATAAATAGTCGATTTACACCCACTTTAATGCGTACATAAATAAAATATTTAATTTAATATTCAATAGTAGTTCATTATCCTTTTAAGTATATTCTACACCCCAGCGTTGATATTAAGTATTTTTTCTACCATATTAAGTTCTGTTATTTATGCTTATTTATATATATAAACAGTTTTGTATCCACTCATGTCGAGAAAATTTTTGTTAAATATTTCGCATAGCAATTATCAGACGCGACAGAAAGTCTCGTCGTTCGCTAAAAGTTTAACTGAAGGGTCTGCAGAAAATCGATTATGAATTTTTGATTATTTTACAAAAACATTAAATACTTTGAAATATTATATTTGAAGTATAAGTAAAGTTAAATATTTCTGTTATCGGAACTCAAGTATATTTATGCCCTTCACACACAAAGTGTGAAGTGTTTTTAACAAAACTAATTGATTTAGCAATACTATTAGATTTATTTTTATCTGTTTATTGGTTTCACTAGTCCTTTAGTTTTTGAAATAATCATATAAAAACTTCCATCTATAAAAATTTGACCATTTAAATAATAATGATAAGGATAATAAAAGAAAGATTATAAGTTATCTATTTTGTTTGAAATTCGATATTTTTAAAGAACATTCCAATCATTTAAGAATGATACGTTCATCCGATTACCATTACTAATAGGTGGTACTATGGACTTAAAACGCAATTCAGATGTAAAACTCTCTCTCAACCGACATAACTTACACTCTTTAAGTCGCTTATTCTACCTATACTTCTGTATTGCGAAGAAGCATGGACTGTATCACGAAATGATGTGGTAGCACTTGGGAGTATTTGAACAAAAACTTTTCGTTAGATCTCGTAGAGATCTGCAAGCTTTGCTAGCTTGGACAAGTCATTAAAATAAATAGCTCTTCAACAAATAAGCTATTTAAAGCGACAGTTAAAGAATGATTTAGGGGAGTCTTAAAGGAGTACTGTATCTTGCTGTTCGATATTGTTCCCGCAAAATATGTTTCAGTTGTGACAATCACTTCTGCATTAAAGCCAACTCTCTTTGATTTGAGTGTTTTTTTTAAGGTACAAAAATAAGTATTAGGCGCTGAGAGTTGATCTAAATTGGAATTTCGTCATTCTTGTCATCTCGACTTTTGACAAGTTGCATTTTTTAGTGACAAAACTAGAGGACTATTTTTTTCGTTTCTAGCTTTGAATACATCGATAACACTATATAACTAGTGTCCACATTTAAATTTTTTTCCTTTCACATTATAATTTGTTATTAAAATACTAAGTGCATCCTAAAATGCGTACGGGGATCAAAAGTTTACTAGCTCCCTTTTAGTTTTAGGTATGGGCGGTTGCTCTCAATCAGCAGACGGCTGATTGATCTCAAGAGTTAGCGGCTATATTTATTCCATTGTCAGATATCAGTTAAAAAATTCTTTTATTTTGCGCTGAAACAATTCCAATAAGTAGTCGAAGCAAACGCTTTATTAATTTCAAACACTGCGTTTATATCATCAAATGTGCCTGCTGTGTTTATATTTCCTTCCAATATCTTTGAAGGATCACCTATCTGCCTAAACTTCACTTGACAGCGATTTCGTTATAATCTCATTAAAGGATTTGCTTTATTGACGCATATAGCCTTGATAGGTATCCTCATTACAAGTACCTGGTTTTAAAATGTGTTATTGCATCATATATATAAAGGTTATTATTCAGTTTATAGCTACAGTTATTAAACCAACCCTGAGGAAGATTTCAAAAAAACTGCGAAGCGTTGTTGATACTAAAATAAAAAAAATATATTAATTATTATAACTTTATGTTTAAATTTTAAATGTTTTGTTCACTTAAGTCTATTTAAATACATTAATTTAAAACGTTCTGTTTATTTTGGAATGTATCTTGTACGTTACAATTTTAAATGATTCAAAAAATAGTTGCTTCAAACTGGTCAAACATCTTAAAAAGTTTAGACTAGTTGTAGGTCGTTCTGTTCTTAACAAACAACAAACAAGTACATCAAAACACAATTTATTTATACTATTCCACAAAGATAAATAATCTTTGTAATTTATTTAAACACTGCCCTTGAAAATGTGTAAGCAATTAAAATCGTAGTTCCAATTAATGAAAACCGTGCGTTCCTGGACATCCAAATAATTTATACGACCGCTTTTGGTTTTGGTTCTGCAAGAAGGAAAATGAATGCGATGGAGAAATCGTTAAATAAATTGCGTTGCCTTTGATTTTATTCTTAGTTTAATTAGAATTTATTTGACCTAATTTATTTATGTAACAATTTTTATTTGCAGTTGGCATTCTTTGCATACCACACACTCAACACTGGTGAAGCGGAACCTGCTGGTCCGGTTCCAACCGATTCCCTCTTTATATACCGTCCTGATAAGCGTCATGAAGTGTGGCGTTTTATATTTTACATGGTCCTACATGCCGGTTGGTTTCATCTTGGCTTTAATTTATGCATACAACTACTGTTCGGTCTGCCACTGGAAATGGTGCACGGTTCAGGGCGTATCGCTTGCATTTATTTGGCGGGTGTGTTGGCTGGCTCATTAGGTAGAATTTATGATTTTATTTTTTTCTATGTAAAATGACACTTATTAATTAATATACGGATACATTCCTTATAGGCACTAGCATATTTGATCCTGAAGTGTGCCTGGTTGGTGCCAGTGGTGGCGTGTACGCCTTGCTAGCAGCACATTTAGCGAATGTCATGATAAACTATCATCAAATGCGCTATGGAATTTTTCGTCTAGTCACAATCTTAATATTTGGTTTGTATTCCCATTTATTGCATTTATAATTTATTTATTTGATTTAAATAATTTTTAAACCATTTCTGTTTTTTATTTGCAGCTTCATGCGATTTTGGTTTTGCGATATATGTGCGCTATGCTGACGAAAATCCTTTGAGCCCGTCCGTATCGTATGTGGCGCACTTGACTGGTGCACTGGCTGGTCTGACTATTGGTTTGTTGGTTTTGAAAAACTTCGAACAAAAGCTCCATGAGCAGTTATTGTGGTGGATCGCTTTAGGGGTGTACTCGGCGTGCACCATATTCGCCATCGTCTTTAATGTTTTGAATAGCAGTGTTATGCAGAGCTTCAAGGTTGAAAACGTTTACGCTACAGAAACGTTTTACAATGATTTCCAAGTATGATGAAAAGTTAATGTACCAAATGTGGTAATCCTTTGTTGCCTTTTTTGTTCCTCGCTTTACATTAATGTTTTTGTTAATAGTTTTTTTTTATTTTAATATTTAAGAGCGAATATTTTTCTAGTTCTGTAGTGTGTATATAAATTATATATATATATATATATGTATATATATGAATATCTATATATATATTAAGTTTGTATTATATTTCAAGTTCATAGTTTTATACTTTGTAAAAAATATTCAGGTTTTAGTTTTAAGTTTGTAAATAATTATTTTTTATTTTTGTTTATGATTATTTGGTATTAATAAATACGTTTTTGTAAAATATTTTCATTTTTTACAATTACATATAAAATTGATTATATCTTTTTGTTTAATTAACAAACGTGCAATATTACAATATTGATAATATTAAAGACACCCAAATAAGACTTATGCTATATATGTAATTGTATAGTCTGTAAATATAGAATTAAATTTTTGAAAAATGAACGTAAGTTACAAGTACAAAAAATAAAACATTACGTATTCAATACAATATTATGTATTCTAAATTAATTGTAAATTTAAAGTATTATTATATTTAAATTTATTGCGTTAAAAGTGTCCTAATACCAGTATCTTTTTTAATAATTTTATATAAGAATTGTGTTTATAAAATATTATTTGACAACGGATCTAAAAGATAAGTCTGTCAGAGCAAAAGTTTCCTTCGCGTTTATATAAATCAATCCTTAAAACTATAAAGAAGATATATTGAAAGGAAACATTGATATATATACAATCTGTTAAAAGTATTTGGGATTTATAATTTGAAAAACACGAGTAAACATTGTCGAATTTTGGAAAAGTTTTTGGAAAACTGTTTAATAAGTCAATTCCACTAGGCATCGTACTCGAGTGACATGGCCATCTGTGAATTTTTTTTATTCTTAAAGTTAAAATTACGCAACTTCGGGTAGGGAAAGAATATAGCGGTATCCATTCAACATTTAATAGTTTCATTTATTTCATTTAATTTCATTTAATAGTTTATATAAATAAAGTTGAGCACTGGCTGTTTTCGTTTGAAATTCAACTTAGTAGGGCAACGCCACCTTTTCAATTTACTAGTATGATTTAGTTATATTTTTTATATCGGTACTTTTAATAAGTATATTATCTTATTTTGTTTATAGGTATATTTTACATCCAGAAGCATTTAAGTCAACTGAAAATTTCATTAGTAAGTACTTTTTCTTCTTCTTACTGGGCTATTTGAAAATATATTTATGAGATATATAAAGAGAAGTTTCTCTCTACAAAAAAAGTTTGCTTTGTTTTGTACGTAAATCCTCGATACTGGATAAAATTAATTCCCTTACAACACCTAATGATAATCTTTTTGGATTTGTAGTTTGGACATTTGAAATAGCTGTGAAAACTATTTCAATGCCGTAAGGTCCTTCTCATAAATGTAGTACAAGTCAAATTAGGTTTTTATAACCTTATACGTGAATATTGTTTTTATTTTAGGAAAATAAAATATTATCCGTTATTTCCTATTTGTTGTTAACTGTAATATCATGATAAATGCGAAGAAGATTACTAAGCTATTGAGATTTGGAGCTTTGAGTATAGACTTTCTGTATTCTAATTTATTGTGTGTTGACTGAAATATACGTATTTTACGTTGAAAAGAAAAAGAACATTATATAATGTTCTATATAAATGTATTAATTTTTTAACATTTAATGTTTTTCAATTTAATATGCCTGAAAAATGTTATTAATTAATATATTGTATATTATTTATTCTTATGACCAGAACTACATTTAAATTACACATAGTAAGTTAAACATAGATGTTCTTATATCTTCCTTAAAGTTGGTTTCCTTTAATGTAATCATAAAGCCCATGTGTTTATCACCTCATATAATATATTATATTAACTCATAATTAACATATTAATACACGATTATTAACAGAAATTGGTGATTATGATGTTTATTTATTGAAAATTTACTGGAGTATTGATAATTACAATTTTTATAAAGTAGAATCGTGCAATACTGTTATTATTAAGACTGTTATAAAAATCATTTATTTTTTATTTAAACTATTTTCTGGCTAAAATATTGTTCATATAAATTTAAATAAACGCAATAAATTTAAATAAACAATTAATCAAAAAAAAAAAATATACATAAATCTTTAGTATTATTTTAAAAATAAAAAATTAAGGCAAATATAAAATAATGTATTTAAAAAACTCAAAAAAGTTAAACAACTAAGCACACTGCCAGTCCATAGCTTTTATTTTAAATAAATTAAAGACATTAAGAATTTTAAATTATATTTAAATATTTTATATAAAGTAAAAAAATTAAAACTATGAAAGGAAAAAAATTAAATAGAGTAATAATAATAAAAAACAATCATTTTTTAAATAAAAAACTTTTCAAATAAAACCTTTTGTGTTTTGCATTTATTTAAACGAGAAACTAATCCGAAGAGACTAATCGACCGCTCCTTATAACCATTTACCATTTACTTACATTCATACAAAGATGTATACATATTAAGAAGTTGAAATTATTATAACATATATACTATAGAATGACATTGAGTGCTATTCACATTTACCATATTTTTTCCAATGTACATCATTTTGTGTTTTTTTTTTCACCATTTCCGTTTCCGCTTTAAGTCAAAATGTTGATAGCATCCAAGCAAAAGTGATTTGTCATTGTTTTGATTTGAGTTTTAGTTTTGTGCTTGTGTTTATTTGTATACAAAAACTTAAAGTATACACCCCTTAACTATCCACTGGACAAACCTCATCCAACCGTAAGTAACCGCCGCACGCAAATACTGACGAAAGAGGTCAGACTATTTGTTAGCTATTGGCACTTGGAAGGTATGTTATGCATAAGTTTTATTTGAATTAGAAATTAGTTAGCTTAATAAAATGGAATAATAAATAAAAAATAAATAAATAAATAAAAATTATAGCTTAGAAAGTACCTAAGCATGTGAGTAAATAAAGCTAAAAATTATTAATATTATCATGTTGAGGCTAGTTGAGTCAGGTTTCTTCACAACTCTTCTCTACGCCTTAACTGGATTATTGTTTATCACTTTATCAGACTAAGCAATAAATGACCTCAGATCTGCATACCTCCCCGAGGACCCTGTAACCATTTTGAGATTCGAAAACACGGTTTTGGTAAGTTTGTCAGTTTTCGTAAATAATTTCAGGGCTCTATCATAATAAAGTTAATTATAAAAAATTTTAAAACAGTCAACCTAGTCACAGAGATTAATAGATAAAAGTATAAAACATGGATTATATTCTCGTAAGACATATTTCCTCAGCCTAAGACCCGGAAAACATAAACAAATGAATAAAGTTAATTATAGTAGAGTTAATAATAATAAAATTAATAACTGTAAAAGTAAAGACGAGTAACCTAGTCAAAGAGTTTCAAGGATAAGGGTATAAAACACGGAGTATACTCCCACAGAGTATATTCACTTGGTCTTAGATCCAGAAAGCGTAAATAAGTGAATAAAGTTATATTATAATCAAGTTAGTAATAATAAAGTTAATAACAATAAAGTTAATAAGAATAAAAATTCAGACAAGAAAAGTAAAAGCAACCTAGTCAGAAAGTTCCAAGAATAAGGGTATAAAACATAGATTATACTCTCACAGAGCTCATTTACTTGGTCTAAGATCCAAAAAGCGTAAATAAGTGAGTGAAGTTAATTATAAGCAAGTTAGTAATATTAAAGTTAATAAGAATAAAAGTTCAAAGGGTCAACCTAGTCAGAGCGTTCCAAGAATAAGGATATAAAACATGGATTATGCTCCCACAGAACGTATATACTTGGTCAGAGGTTATTATCATACAGCAATAAAAAGAGATTTTGATGCATCTCGTCTGCCGGAACCAATAACGAACTAGCCTCCAAAGGACCTAGATCAGCAGATGATCAAACTGATACATTAGTTGAACAAGATCCTACTTTCATTGAAAAATCAATTAATATTCATCACAATAATCCTAATATGACTGTTAATATGCAAGATAATATTCATCTACAAAGTGGTTCAGGTCGTGGACCGAATACGGAGGCGAGATCGAATGCGACAGGAAGTGGAAATTCTTCTGATGCGGTTATGTGGATAAGACCAAGTACACCTTGTGCAAATAATTATATGAATTTTTCTAAAAATGGAATATTAATAAGTTATGGATATAGTACTGAAAACATTCAAACATCATAAACAATAGATCAGATTACAACTTCTATGGCATTAATTCCTCATTTTATTTAAGTGAAGTAGAATTTGATGTGTTACCTACAACATCAATACAATATCATTTTTATAATTGTATCTTTACCAGTAATAGAGAAAGGGAAAAAAGAAAAATGTAGAATAAAAATTTAAGCGTCTGTTATAGTGCCAATTAAGACGAAATGTAATCTATATAAATCTCAAATATAGATCTCAATATAAAAAAAACTTAAATCGTATTATATGTTTTTGTTTTTTAATTTTAAAAAGGTTAAAGGAAACAATTATGTTGATGTTGATACACGTTAGAATTTATTAACAACTCTTTTCACGTATTACTATATATTATCGAAAATAATCTGAATCCAAAAATGAAAGCTTGTTCACTTTATTATTTCTCTATATATCTACTTGGTTGCAAGAAAGGGATGCAATTCAGTGCATTTTTCAAGCAGAATATATAAAATTATTGAAGAGAGAGTGGATAATTCTTGCTAAAAATTATAATTAAAATGTATTCAATATATAAATATTTTAAGTATTTTAATAAAAAAAAAAAAATTGTAGGAATTGATATTTAGAATATTAAAGTTAATTAGTGAATAAAATTCTAAAGAAAGTCCTTTAACATTCGTTAAGTGATGTAGTCATATTAGACAATTTATTATTGCTATAATGTTTTGATATGAATTAATAAATGTATGAATACATAATTAAATGTATATATGATTAATATAACATTTATAAACTAAACATTAAAACTCTAACAATTTTTAATATATAATAATTAATTTAGTCGCTAGTATAGAGCAGAGCTGTAAACAAAATAAAAATTATACTTC